CAGTGATTGTCACTGGTTGACTCATGTCGTTGGGCATTGTTGGAGTTAGTTCCTCCAGAAGATTTTTGAGTTGATTCTCTTGATCTTCTGTTAGCTCCTGGATGACAACGGTGTAACAATCTCCAACCGTTATAAGGTCTGGAGCCGCCTGAACAATTAGGGCTGTGTTGGTATGTTCTATCCAAACTTATTCTAGGGCCCAGGTCCTTCGGTGTCCAACGAGATTAATTCTAAAGCTCGTGATAAAATGCATTCCTAGGATGAATCTGGTTTTCAGTGTCCTGACAATAATCACCGGAAACCACGGAGCTATGCCGTTTACGTCCATTGGGATGAGAGCTTCTCCCAAAATTCTCTCTTGGGTTTCATTAGCCATGCTGATAAAGTTATTTTTGTTAGGTCTGGATTCCTTGAAAGGTAATTTCAATTCTCTGATGAACTTGCTGCCAACTTCCCAAGACTGAGACTGTTGCTCCAGTATCGGAGGATCAGAATGCTGGATACTGGAGCAACAGTCCCAGTCTTGGTATTATGATTCGAATTCTCGACTGATCTCTGTGCCATTCTTCTGGAGGAACCGGGAAATATGCCAGTTTTTAGAGAGCTTCTATAATTTTAGGATGCCTTCTCGCCTCCTCAGGTGCCACTAGCTTGTGCATTACCTGAAATATGTCTGGCGATTTCTTGGTTTCTTCTTTGACCATTAGTTCCACAAATTCTCTGTTGATTCTATTCAGGATCGATTCCACTCTTTGTGACGGGCTTGGTTGAACCACAGGAGGTGAAGGACCGCTGTTGCTCTGGGTCGGTAAGTCATGTGTCAGAGTGTTGATGTCTCCTTCAGTGGATCTATCAGGCGATCTCCAGCCACTGCAGGGTCTATTACTCACCACGCTGTTCATTGGTGGGTTTTCTACTGGTCCTTAAACGTTGTGGAGTCGCCGACCTCCATAATTCCGGTATCTATTCGCTGGAGTTTAGTACGATATCTGCTATTCCTGCTCTAGGGCTGTGGAATTGACGAATACGTTGGAGATGAAAAATTTAATGAATTTTCGCTCTGATCGTTGCTCATGGGGTCTCGGGGGACGAAAGAACCTGACTTGACCCCTACTGTCGGTTCTGATCCCCGTTTTTTGACTGCCAGGAGCTACACGTATTTCTCAATACTCCAATTCTCCCACAGGTAGTGCACAGGTCCACTCTGGCATTCTCACAATTGCTGTGGATGTGTTCAGCTTGTCCACAGTTTGTGCACAACAGAGGGAACCTTATGGGTCTGAAATCGCTGTTTGCAGGCTTAATGGGTGTACTGGCGCTTCCCTGCTGATTTGCTGCAGCTTGGATCACCTGCTGTTGAGCCAGTGAGTGCACTGGTTGATTTCGAGGAGCATTTAGTGGTGCTCCTGAATTTCCTGTGCCTCTTGTACTTGCAGTTGTTGCCACTGCTACAGTGTCTTTTTTTAATTTTTTTTCTTCTTGGGTTTTGCTGGACCTGGTACAGAGGCGCTCTCCTGGCTCGAGTTTGCCATCTGAATATCTGCAGAATCCTTTGAGTTTGAGGCGGCCTTGGTTGATCGATTTTCTTCACCTTTCTTGTCAGCTGTTGCTACTATTTGAGAGGATTTAGAGTCAGGTTTTGCATCCTTACTCTTTGAGGCCTTGTATGCGAACTCCTTTGCAGTTTCTTTTACGAGGTGGAGATCGATGACGTTTTGCTCTTTCCCATCATTCTTTGATTCTTGTCGCTTTATCAGCCAGCTTATCGAAGGTCTTGAAGTGGTATTTGTCCAGGAAATTCCAATACTCTGGCCTGAGTCCTCTGTAAGCCCTTTTCACAAGGCTCTTCTCTGGCTTCTTGTGCTTGAGGCAATCGTAAAGCCCTTGAAGACATACGAAATAATCTTTGGCCTCCTCTTTATGCCCCTGATTTCTCTGTCAAATGTCTTCTTCGACATCTTCATCATTTGTTCTCGTGTCATACCAGCGGTCAAAAGCCTTGGTGAAATCAAGCCAATTCGTCCAGCTTTTCTTGTTGATGCCATGCCATTGTAGTGTACGAACAGAAAATACTTCAGGGAGTACTTCCAGGCCGGCATCGCCTCTGATACTTCCAGTTCGACAATTTCTCCCCCAACCGATCCATGAACTGTTGAGGGGATTCATTTGTCTCCCCCGAAATTTTTTTTTATCGTTATTTTACATCGCTTCGATCCGGTTAGGGTATGCTGCGATGATGATCAAGACTTTAAATGGTTAGATCTCACCATTCTATCCGGCCGGGTTTGGAACTCGGAACTTTTCGCACATGAGGCAACGTACTTATCCACTGCGCCAAGCCACCGAGCGTCCCCCGAAAATGAAATTTTCCATTTCCGAGCTACGTTCCCGCTATCTCTCTGTTTTCTTGAGTCTGTGGCATCTCCCACTCCTGTGTCTTCGGTGTCTAGACTCTGAAGACCTACTGGAGTCACTAGAAAAGCTCCTTCTGCGCGTAGAGCTTTTTCTAGATCTGGAATCTCTCCTGCGAGGACGCCAGTGTGACTCATGTCGATGAGAGTGCCCTCTCCTGGATTGGGATGACAAAGAATCTGAATCAGTGTTAGATAGGTTTGAGTCGGAGTCAGATGACGAACTTCTAGAGTTTGTAGACATTTCACGAGGCATCTGGCGTCTTCGCCTTCTAGAAGAGGGTCTGTGTGATCCCCTGTAATGCCGTCTGGAGTGAAACCTTTTAGAACCTCTGGATCTGCTTGAATGAGACCTTCACCTCGTTCTAGACTGGTGTCTCCTTCTCCTCGAATAGCTCCTCGTTCTATGTGAAGAGTGAGTTGAGGCCATCTGACCCTCCGGGGATCTCCTTCCTTTATCGTCATCATCGGAAGCCTGTCTGTGGTCTCTCCTCGCTGTAGAGTCCCTTGGTATCGCAACTGTATGATGATTTTGGTGATTATATGTTTGTGGAAGGGAATTTGCATGACATAAACTGCGTATTTGGGCTTCTTCTCTATTCGCATGCCCCTCTCTAGTCTTTTCGGTGGTTCTGTTTCGTTGAGTGTGACGTCCGGAATCACCCTTACTTCCTGCCTGTCGCTCTGCGTTTCTCTGGGTCTTGTGGACCTCTCTTGTCGCTCATGGCCTCCCAATTGCGTTGAGTGGTGTATTGGAATTTCCCCTCCTCTGGGGAGATTTCCTCTGATACTACTCGCTCCTTGGGTTTGAGCTCGTTGAAGATTTTCCGATAGAACAGTGTTCCAGAAACTATGAGCTGCATGGCTGGATGGACTGGAAGGTTCCTGTACTCCAGAATCCAATGTTTTCGATCGTCTGGGTTTTGGAGGTGCTCCAATCGGGCTAATGTTTGGCAAACGCCACTGTGGCGATCCCAGAGAAATATTCCTAGGGTCCCGTGGTTTTTCTAAACAGTCCCTCTGTCTCTGTAGTTCTTCTATGCTAGCTGATAAATCGAGTACGGCTCGTTCCACTGGATGTTGGGGTTTCTCATGTCTCAGTTGCTCTTGATAGCTATCAAAAGCCCTTTACAAGAACTAGGCCAGTTTCTCAAGAGGTATGAAATTTCTCTCGAGTCGATGATTGAAGGGTCTGGAGAATCGTATTGCTCCCGACTTTCGCCTTGCTAGTGTTCTACTGTTTGAGCAGATCGAATAATTCTGTCTAGAGCAGCTTTTAGGGATGCCCTGATGTCTCTCGTTGAGCCCGAATAATCGACTCTGAGCTGGGACAGATACCTTTTGCACAATTCAGGTGGAATGTCATCTATTCTCGCTGAAAGGGGGCGTGGACTAGGGAAATCGAATTGTCTGTCCTCGCCGTCGTTTCCAGGCCACTCCGGGGAGTCCTGCGATTTGCAGGTGATATCTCCAGTATCGATCCTTCAGAATATCGAGGCTTCTCTCGCAGTTTAGCGAAGCTGCTCCTAAGAACTTCCTGATCAGGTTCGCAGAACATTCTTGAATACATTGCAGGGATTTTTCCTTCTCTCTTCTCCACTCGTCCAGTCCTGTTGAATTAGCGAGGTCAGGGATCACTGCGCCTGCAACCTTGTCTCCACTGGCCGATGGGATAAAATTCTGTGACATTTCTCCTGCGCGTTCCTCCTCAATTGCCGATAATCACTCGTTACCCTGAAATATATGGATCGCAGGACAAGATATTGCAGAGTATTGTTATTGAGTAGAACTTCATGGTTATTCCCATCACTGGATTCCTCCATCCCTAAATCGTCAATGACAACCGTCGCATCCGACTCGTCAGATCCCATTTGAGGTGTATTTTCCCTCATTTCTATTTTTAATATATCTTCAAAAAAACCAATCTGATTGAAAAATTCTCTAGATATCTCCCCGAAAGAAAAAGAATTTATAAAAACTCCAGCCCACTCGGTTTGTTTCGGGAATTCTTCAATCAATAATTTACCAAACGATTCGTTTAGGTCAATTTTGGAGAGTTGAGATAAGGTAACACTGCTCGAGTTAAGTGTCACTGTCGAAAATTTACACCAGAGATATTTTGATTAGAAGAATTTTAATTTATTTTAATTTTTGTTCGAATTTCGCTCGAATAAAAGGTATTAACCCTCGGGCAAGATGTTCTCTCTGTCTCTCTCTCTCTCTGTCTCTCTCGCTGTCTCTCTCTCTGTCTCTCTCTGTACAAACGTACTCATTCTCGTCAGGCACTCTTAATCTATCGCACGGCTCGTGATCGTGCTCATCGTGAGGTTGAGGCGGCATGTTAACTTTTCTTCCAGCGAAGGCTGGAGCCTCTCGCTGACCCTTCGCTGATCTGGAAGGAGCTCAGACGGCTTGGTGTGGTGACTGGGAATGACTCAACACCCGATTTCGATCCTGATGTCTTGAATCGTTGCTTTGCTGGAGTGTCCTTTGACGAGACGGAGCCTTCGCTGGATGGATTCTTGGATTCGGCTGAGCTAAGGGCTATCCCTCCTACCGTGGGTTTCTCCTTTAGGCCAGTCACTGCTGATGAGGTACAGAAGGCTGTTCGGCACTTCTCTACCGAAGCTAAAGGGACTGATGGGGTTTCCAGGTACGGTGGTTGTGGCTGCCCTGCCGATTCTAACACCTTATCTAGTGCTGTTCTTTAACATCTTTTTCGCTCGGTCCTGCTTTCCCTCTGAATGGAGGAGGTCCCTTATTGTTGCGCTTGGCAAGGTGAAAAACCCTGTGTCACTTAATGACTTCAGACCGATTGCCTTGCTCTGTTTCCTCTCCAAGGTGGTGAAGAAATTTGCTTCCCAGCAAATCTCCGGCTTCCTTGCTGAGAGATTTATTCTGGACTCCCTGCAGACGGGTTTTCGTCCATTCAATGGGACGCAGACGGCGCTATTGAAACTGACAAACGACATTAGGACGGGTATCGATAGACGCCAGCTGACGATACTGCTGTTATTCGATTTCAGCAAGGCGTTCGATTCTGTGTGTCATGTGTTGCTGCTGCGGAAGCTGTTAGGCTACGGCTTCGCAGCTTCTTCACTGAGGTGGCTTGCATCATATCTGGGTGGTCATTCGCAGGCTACACTAGGCGGGGCGAGTGGCTGTTCATCCTTCTGTCATCTGAACAGGGGAGTTCTGCAGGGATATGTTGTAGGTCCTCTGCTATTTCTCCTGTTCATTAATGATGTTGGTGTAAACTTAGGGGCTGGAGTTCGGCATCTGATATATGCTGATGATGTCCAGATTTACCTGACCTTTTCACGTGAGGAGTTAGAGGATGCCATTCGCCGCATGAGCAATGCTGCTAACCGTGTGACAGACTGGATTAATGCAAATCGGCTGAAGCTGAATGTGGCGAAGACGCAAGCCATCATTTTTGGCTCTAATGTCTTCGTTAACGATGTCTATTCCTTGCCCGGTTTGTCTGTCAACGTTGGTGGCTCTGCAATTCCGTTTGATACTTCCGTGCGCAGCCTGGCAGTGGTTCTGGATAACAAGCTCTCTTGGAAGGGACATGTGGCGCATGTGACGCAGAGGGTTCACTCTGTCGTGTACCGCCTTCAATTCTTTAGAGCCAGTACCAGTCTGGGTCTGGATAAACACCTCATTCAGGCTTTGGTGTTTCCTCTGATCGACTACTGCTGTCTCGTGTATGATGGTCTGTCTGGTGTACTTGCTACTGTGATTCAGCGTCTCATCAATATGACAGTTAGATACATCTTTGAGCTAAGGAGAGATGAGCACATCACCGCTTATCGTCTGCGGCTTGGCTGGACGACGTGTGAAGTGCGCAGGAAGTACTTCCTTGCGTGCCTCACTTACAAGATCCTTCGCTTCGGTCAGCCGGTGTATCTGGCTCAGTTTTTTGTGGCCAGTCGAGCCGTGCGGCCGGTGAGGGGTGATGTGACTCCCCTTATGATCAAGGCTTTCAGAACTGAAGCCATGCGATCCTCCTTCCACGTGTCTGCGGCTTATTTATGGAACTCAATTCCCTCTGCAGTGCGGGACCTTCCCACACTGTCGTCCTTCCAATTAGCTGTGCGGAATTATCTGAGGGATAACCCTTAATGCCTTTCCTACCATTTGCTCTCCTCTTATCACTTTCCCTTCCCCTGCTGCCCCAGTCTACCTATCCCTTCTTATTCTTACACTCTTTCCTCTGTCATCGTTACCTTTTCGCACTTGCTATTCACCCGTTTGTTTAGGACCCGCCGGAGTTTACTTTTTCCGTTGCATATTGCTCCTTCTCACCTTACTCTGCTTTCTATGCATCTATTATTATTAGCATGTATTGTTTACTCTGTGATTTCACTGCGATTTACTGTATACCCGCTAGTGTGGTTCTGCCACCATAACCTTGTACAACATAATGTACAGCAATAAAATCTCTCTCTCTCTCTCTCTCTCTCTCTC